GTTTCGAACTCCTGAGCTCAAACAATCCGCCCGCCTCGGCCTCCCAGAGTGCTAGGATTATAGGCGTGAGCCACCGCACCCGGCCAAGGAGGTGTTTCTTAACTCAGGCAGTCTCTGTCCTGGGTTTGATTTTTCTGTGTGGTGTCAGATTCTTCCTTCCCATCTTCTCTGCTCTGCTCTGTTTAGCACTTTCTTGCCCAACACACAGAACTAATTTCATATGCCCTCTCAGTAAATGACAAACTATGGAGCTTCTCCCAAATGATCTAATTCTCGTACTATTTCCCTGCTTAAAGACCTCTACAGAGCTTCTTCTTTACTACAGGATAAAATCCAAACATCTTTTCCAGATAAGGAACGCTCCTTGTGATCTGGGATTTGTATATGTCTTCAGTCACATCTTCCGTCATGTGACCACCCTCCAGCCCCAGCTCCACATCAGTCCTAAACTTTGGTCCAGCTGAACTTACTTACTACAAGTCCTTTTGTACTTCCATGGTTTTAAACACGCCTTTTCCTCATCCTCACATACCTTTCTCTACCAGTACCTTCAGGTCAGCTTCTGATACTTGAAGATGCAGTGTAAATGTTTTCTCCTCAGTGAAGTTTTCACTGACATCTCCCTTGCAGGTGGAGCTAGTTTCTCCCACTTTGGTGCTCGAAGAGCACTTGTTTCTAAATGTATGATGACACTTGTCCTGCTACATTGCACTTATGTGTTTACTTGATTGCCTTGGTATTAACTGTGATTTCTTTGAGGGCCAGAACCATGTCTCCTATTAACTTCTATTTCCTCAAAACCTGGAACATCATGGCTTCTCAACTAATATTTATTGACTAAATGAATAAATAAATAAATGCATTAGCTAATCTGAAGAGGTAGACCCTTCCCCCAAAGACTCCTCTTTCCCTCCATTCTCTTTTTTCTCATGATGTGCTTGAGTTTCCTGTTTTGAAAGGTATGTTTCAAGCTTGTGATATTTACTGGCAGCTCCTCAGGAAGGAGTCACCATTACTTTGTAGCTTAGTTTTGACCCTTGCAGCTCCCTGAATGTGTCTTTATGCCTTTCAAGGAGGGATTATGTCCTGTTAGCACTTGACAGATGTCCTCTCTTGGCTGGAGAGTGAGGAGAGTGAAGTGTCTCACACTTTGCCTTTCCAAAGCAAGTGGTTAAAAAAAAAAGCCTTTTTTTTTCCTTTCTAAAATATGACTGGGAAGATAGGGGACAGGCACTGAATGATTTTTTTAAAAGAAACATTATCAGTCCCATCTGAATCTTAAAAGCCAGAGTGTTCACAGCTCTCTCTTGTTGTGTCTCTTTGCAGTGGGAGCCCTGCGTCAGTGGGTGGTCTTGCAGCACACAGCACCCACACCATCCACACCATGTACCACAAGTGAGTTATGAGGAGGTTTCAACTATAACGCTTCAGTTTCCCACTCTGGTGGTTTTCATCTAGAGCCTTTTATGTTACTTTAACAAATGTTACTTTAACATAGTCTTTTGTGGTTTAGCAATGATACATTTGGTAGCCATCACTGAGGCTGGGAGGAATAGACTGGAAGCTTCTAATTTTTTAAAATGTGAATCACATGCATTTTACAGACAAAATGGTATAAGGCTACAATAATGTCATTATCTGGACCACATGATTTGTTAGTAATTCACAAGCTAAGACTAATTTTCTGTGGTGTTTTTTCTCCCTCTTTTTTCTGTACAAGATAGTAAGAGATTACAATGTGGCTGGCATCAATACTAGGAGTATAGTAGAGTGGAAAGTGCATGGGCTTAGATTATCAGATAGACCTGGGTTTGAATCATGGTTCTGCCACTTGCTACCTGTGTGGTTGGTGGTGGGCCTGTAACCTCTGGGGGCCTCAGTTTTCTCATGTCTAAGACTGGGATGATAATGCTGACCTAGGATTAAATAATAAAATGTATAAAAAGTGCCCAGCACAGCATCTGGCACATGCCAGATACAAAATAAATATTTATCTCCCCTCCACCATTCCCTTACCCCGCTGGAAGAATGAGACATTTAGTGGTTAGAATATTAGAACAAGATTGGGATTTGAATATTCTTCCTAAGCATCTCTAATTCACTAAAATCCATGAGTCTGGGTCATGTGGCCTAGTTTGGAAGCCAAGGAATCAATGAAATAAGCTCCTGGGGTCAGTTTAATTCCATGATTCTTTGCCAAGGTGTCAGAAAGAACCAGGGCACAAGATGCCCCTCTAAAGATTCCTGGTAGTGAATGAATTGGCAGTTGGAATATGGGAATGTTCTCCTAAATCATGTAAATGGGCATTCGGAATGAAGGTTGGGACTATGCCATTTCTTGTAAGCCTGTGGCCTGGGTGACATTAGGCTCAGTGCCTGGAGATTCCATAGGCACCTCAAAACTCATCATTTGTCAAACTGAACTCATCATCTCTCCTCTTCTCTCCTCTTGGCCCAAACCTGTTACGCCTTCATTCTGCCTATTTCGGTAGATGGCAATATTCTCCATCTCACCAGCTTCATTCAGACTCTGTGGCTCCTCCATCTTTCTCTTTAACCACATCAAATCAATCACAAAGTCTGTTGATTTTAACTCTTAAATTTCTCTTGCCTCCGCTCTCCCCTCTACATTCCCACTGTGGCTGCCTTGGTTGGGGCTCTTATCATTGCTCACCTAGACTAGCGAGGTAGTATCTTAATTGTTTCATCACCTCTAGTCTCGGCCCCCTCCTTCTGCCTTTTTTTTTTTTTTTTAACTCTCCTGCAATCCATACTCCTTAGAGCTGCAAAATCTAGTAAGACCAAATCATCCCTATTCTTAAAATTTTTTCATGGGCTCCGCACTGCTTACTGGCTAAAGTCTAACCTCCTTAGGATTACAAAAGTAGTCCTTTGTGATTTTGATCTTTTTAACTTTCAGCTCTCCTGCCATTCTTCCTGAAATGCCTTAAGCATCCATCACAATGAGCTACTAAGAGTATATTTAATTGGGCTGCACTTTCCCAAGTCTCTGAGCTTTTGTGCAGGCTGTTCTTTATGCATAAAATGATTTCCTTTTCTGCTCTGCCTTTTCTTTTCCTTTCTGAATGTTTATTTATCCTTCAAGATCCAGCTCAAGTATTATCTCTGTAAGGAATGATTAGCTGTCTTTCCTCTGAAACTCAGCATCCTACCTCTTATAGCAGTGCTTTCATTGTATTAGGACTCTTGGTAGAGATGCCTGTATCTCCTACTGGATTCTGAGCTTCTGATGGGCAGACTGTGCCTTATTAATGTCTGTGTGTCCAGCCCTAGCACAGTACCTTGCATACAGTGTTAGGTCAGTAAACATTTGTTGAATGAAGGATGCAGCCAAGCACAAGCCAAGTATGAAATATATGCCAGCCCTCAAGCTATTAAAAAAATTCCCCAGTTTTTGTCTTTCTAGTCCAATTAATATGAATCATAAAGCCAAGGAAATCAATAAAAATCAACTTTCCTCATCAGAGGCCTGCCGTCAGTTGTGATTGCCCACAGGGTCAGGGCAGGGTGACCTCCCCAGTGCAGGCTAGGCAAATCCTCAAGAGTTTACGTCACTGGACAGTTTCTAAGGGCTCATGACGCTGCTTTTCCTTTTGTTCCTGGGAACTGTGTAAATAGTGATGCTTATAGATCCCCAGGCATATGCTTTATTACTGCAGCAAGGTCCTATCCTGTTCCCACCCAAGGGATGGTAGAGTGTGAGCCCTCAGGCTGTGGAGAGCAGAGTGGGTCTTTTATGAAATTGTACCATTTTGTCTCAGCTAACCCTGCTCATCCAGATCACACAACATCCTCCTATAGGACTCTCTCAATCCCACAGTAATCCTGTGAAGGAATAGCCTATAGTTTTGCCTCCGTCTAGTCTTTACCCCGGGAGAGAGAGGGCTAAGCTCCTTTATCATTTTGTCCTTGCTAGATCTGTTCAGTGCTATGCAGTTTTCCATAGCTGGTTAGCAAGTTATTTATGATTCATTTAGGCCACTGGCAGTTTGCCAAATCTCAAATCCTTTCATGAGGATAGGGATGACTTATACAAGTCAAACCAAAATACAGTGCAACCCTTTATTCTATTATAATTTACATATTCCCATAATTCACACCTTTTCAAGTTTCATTAGAATTCCCACGTGGTTATTAAAGTTTTCTGAGTTCTGACTGAATTTCCAAAAACATTCTCTTCCTTTCTCAGAAATGCTTACTATATCTCTTGACCCTTTACTATGGAACTACCAATAAATGGAAAGTTCTACATATAAAAACAAAAATAAAGACAAAAATGCTTAGCATCCTTCATAGAGAGGCTTAGGTTCACTATATCAAGCCCTTAGATGTCCTATATAAGGTGTTATTAAATGCTTAGTGGGCTGATGCCTAATGTAGGAGGTAGCTATGATAATATGCCTCTTGGAAAGCTCTCATTGCTTGGGGATAAGATATAGTTTATCATGATTCTTATTAAGACTCAGAAATGTTTTTGAAATTGTTGCTGGTGGTGCTGAAGTATATTAATTTCCTGTTACTGGCAACATTTCCCCCTGGACCCTAGGGGGAAAAAAAAAAAGACTAATAGAATTGTGTATATCAATGAAACCAAACCTAATCAAATGGTCTTTTCTGGAAACTTACATGGCCCTCATTAATCATTGGATTACCAATGATATGGCAGCAAGGGAGGACCGCAAAGGTGAGAAGGTATGTCTTACTCTAGGATAAACCACCTTAAAGTCAGGAACCACTGAGACACAGACTCTGCTATATGGCCTGTTTTTCTGAGTCCTTCTATTGTCATATCTTTGCTCACTCCGCTCTCCCTGACAAGAAACTTTTATTTTTATACATGTTTATTAACATCATGTTTATTCATTAATACCCAAGTCAGATATCAAATAATGCTCCGCAAAGGCTTTCTGATATCTTAGAAAAAATGTGCTTTCTTTTCTTTTTTAAATATCACTTAATATTTATGATTTCTGGCAGATTCTACCTCATTTTATAATAATTTGTATTCTTATTTTACTCATACCATCATACTGAAAGCCCCTTGAGTGCAGAGTCTTTGTCTTACTCAATTCTAAATGTCTACAGTAGGCGCCCAATAGATACTGAAATACTTTGCCCCAAACTACATTTCAAACCAACAATGCTGTTATGTCATGGAATAATAATGCTCTTTGGCTGGGGAACTCATTAAATGGTCACAGTCACATCCAAGCCTCTTGGGAGTGGTATGGCCAATGTTATTAATTGTGTGACACACAAAAGGTGCCGAAAGGTTAAGTGATTGCCAGTGTCACACAATAGGGGAGCCAGGACCCAGCCTGCAAGTGTGATTCAAGCTTCTCTTAAGAACCCTCCTTCCTCTGGAAAATAACAATCGCTACTTATCAACTTTTGGGCATCTAAACTACTTGGAGCAAGGGAAAGTGAGAGGCTTAAGCAATTCCCAGTTCTCAAAATGAAACATCAGGCAGTTACCTTGTCTATTTCTAAATCTGGTGGCTGGGGAGCAATCCAAAGAGGGTCTGCCTCCATTCCACCCACCCACTCACTCACCCTCCCGCAAATTGTACAATTCATTTGAACTGATGGAACTCTTGCTAATTGCCTCTTATTGGCCTGTTACAAAATGAAGCATGGGAAGTGGACAAAGCCTCCCTATTCACATTCTCAGTGGGCAACAGGGGTCTCTGCAAAAGCAGAGAAACTGGAGCCCAAGCTATTCATTTTTGAAAGTCAGGACAAGATCTTCCACCATTCAGAATCCCACATTATGATCACAATATTGCATCCTAAGAGAAGCTGTCCATTTCTCAAATGGTCTGTCAGAAATTTACAGTCTATTTAATATTCGAGTCTATTTAATAAATCAGTGCTACTTAAAATTATAGACTTTTTTTCCTCCAGAGTGATACACATTCTACACTTTAATTTCATTATCATTTTTTCCCAGTTGGGGGTGGGGACCAGGGGGAGGGATAGAGGGAAAGAAGGGGGAGGGAGGTATGAAGGAAGGGAAGGCGGGAGGGAGAGGGAGAGGGAGGGAGGAGGAGAGAGAGAGAAAGAAGGGCAGTGCTTTTCATGAAAACATTGGTTCTTATATTTATGTTTTAAGAACGCAAAGGGGAGGCAAGAAGTACAGCCTGATAACTGAACTTTCTGTTTAGAATTCCTTCCTCTCCATTGGGCCTTAGCTGGTTTTCAATAATTATTGCTCAGGCACATAGTCTTGGAGCTTTGCTTTTTCTCAGACTTGTACACAGTTCTAGGAAGGGTCGTTGCCAAAGCCATCATGTGATTTATTGACCCTCCACTGGGACAAGGGGGAACAGATATAACTTTGTGATTTTATTATAAGGAGGCTGGGTTAATATTTCGAGGTGAAACAAGCTACTATACCAAGTTCAAACATCTGAAGAGGGAGGTTAAGAAACCCTGAGTGTGGGGTGTAAGGATTATTCTGTCCTGGGGCTGTACAGACGTCGTCTGAGGCAGGGAGCAGGAGAAGAAAGGACACATTGTGACCCATTTCCAACACCTCCTGTGTGTAGAGGCGGAAGTTCCTTGCCTGCAGAGGGACACGCGCAGAGGAAAAATAGGAGAGTTACAACATGGCACTTACATAAACAACACCAAACTGGCATAAAACATCTAACAAAATTACACGACTTCAAGCTTGGAATTTTTATACAACATAAATATTAGGGTTCAGCCCATTTAATAATGCTATATAAAATCAAGATTTAAGGCAGTAATGTTCCACATAAACTCTGAAAACAACATTTATGCTTCTTATAAAAGCAGAAAATGATTGCATTCTGTGGGCTTTTCAAAATGATGAATATAATTACATGAAGCAACAAAAATGGATTGAATTAAAAATCCACTAGTTTCAATTTAAGTTGGTTAAGGGGGAAAAATGTAGTTTCTGGCCAAGGACTGAGAAAATTTTACAAGTATCCAAAAAAAAAAAAAAAAAGTCATATGCACTGTTAGGCAGCCTTCTCCCAACATGTATATGTAGCCCAAGAGTCACCAATGAAATATGAGCTGCTTCAAACCTGCTAAGTCCAAGAAACCCTTTAATAGTATCTACTGTCACAAGTAGAGCTGGTATTTTTTTTTCTCCTAGTGAACACACGGCCACCCCTGGAATAATCCAGTTGCTCCCCTGGCGTCTTTATGGCATCTTAGTTTTCATCAGTTTTCGCTATTTTGGACTAGCCTTGCAGTATTGACTTAAAATTGGAGCACTATCCCAATGGAAGGACACTCCTGGAATCTCTAATTTATCCCCCTGCCTCCATGGGCCAGAGGCCAGTTCATGGTTCTCTCTCTTATTTAAAGAGAGCCAGTCACTCCTGTAATGGCCTTCTGGTTTATAGGCTAAATTTGGTTCGGTGTGTTTGTGTGTGTGTGTGTGTGTGTGTGTGTGTGTGTGTGTGTGTCTGGTCTGTGTTTTGGGGAAGGAGGCAGGAATGATGAACATAGACCAAAAAAACCAAAAAAAGTTCAATCTAATGCTGCATCATGTTAACCTACTAGACAGAGTCTAACAAACATTTACTATTCTCTTTTGTGCCAACAGTTTTTCTCAAACTTGCTTATTAGTGGAGATTAGATTAGCACATTTTATTTAGATAAGACAATAATTTTGATAGCAAATTCTCTGTTTATGAAAAGACAGCCAGGCATAGCCTGATCATTGTAGTATAATCTATTATTCTTCTGCTCTTGGATAAATCATTCGTATATCTGAGTACACCCTTATTTATTTATTCTCCTTGCTTTATGCTATCCTGAAGCTGAGCTTTGTTGTCTTTCAAAGTAGACTAGCCAATGATTTTTCCTTGCTTGAGTACAGTGGGGCCCAGAATACTTGGGAGAGAAGTCAATACAGAGGAGCTAGAGAAAAGGAGCAGAAGTATAGCCTGTGTCTGCTGGTGGGCATCAAATGTAAAATGTGCATGTATATGAAAAGTGATGTTTAAATAAATGAAAATTAATATACACATAAATATACATATTTTATATATACAAATATATGTCTCATGTATATATCATATCCATATGATATATATCTTCAGTAAGTTTAATGCTACAATTCAGTTTCCATGAGCCATAAGAAGAAGATAAAAATGGTAAAGTCTAGTACCTGGTGTAGAGGTATATTGACCTGCTGAAGGAGAGCTTTCACTGCCATCTGGAGCTCGTAGAAGAACAATTGCATGGGGCAGTCAGACGTATGATCCACACTTTCCATAGATTCAGAGCCAGAAAGCTTTTGGATCCATTCCCACTCCTCTCTGTATGTTGAGTCAAGTTAAAATTAGAAATATAACAAAAGTTCAGAACACAGCTCAGAACTTTCTTAGTGTATATGTCCAGAACCTAGATAACCAATCCTTGGTAGTTAAAACTCAATGCAATTCATGAAATTTGAACTTTTTGCCACCCAAAAGGAGTTTAAAATGAGCTCTTTCTAATTTAAGCTTAGTTCACCTATCAAACCACATATACCGTAGAACAGCAGGTCTAATTTGTATGAATCAGTTTTTGAGATTGGAACTTTCAAATATTTTGTAATATTAATAATTTCCTGACTATCCTCATTTTTATTTCCCTGAAGATTCTCTGTAAGTTCTAAGACCCTACATTTTACCACAGGGGCATCTGCTGGTTAATTCCACAGTTGGGTAACCACAGGACTCTGGTCCAACTCAGGCAACAAACCACATGGCACATTTCAACCCTGGCCTGTTGTAATCGTGGGGACTATTTTGGTTTCTCTCCCCTTCCAAAAGCTTGAGGAGAATCACAAACAGGAACACCAGACAATTCCAATAAAAGGAACAGGGGACACACATCACTGCTTCCATCCTCCTTACAAACCAGTCATCTGTGTCTTTATTCTGCGTGCTCTATTAATCCTTCCTAATGAACTTTTCCAAATGTCATGCAGAATTGAAGGGAAAAGAATGGCGGTGGGAGGAAAGCACATCTGTTTTGCTCCCGAAGGCTGCTCTTCGAAAGGAACTTGAAAAGATCAAGGTAAATGCCTCTTGGAGAACATTGTTTCCACAGGTATTTTAGCACAAGTCTCTAAACACATTCAGTTGGCCCAATTTCTCCCTAGAACTCTGCAGGGAGCAGCAATATGCTCTCAAGAGCAGGGTAGAGAGGAAAGGAAAGCCCTCCTCTCAGGGGAATGGAAAAAAAGGAGGTGCTGACATATGTGCCCTCCCTTGTGAAAACCCTCTGAGGCTCTTCCAAAGGGCTATACCAGCCTGGGCTCCAATATGTGGGTCAGAAAACCAAATTGATTGTGGCATGAGCTTTTCATCAAAAACCACTCTCTTTTAAGTAACTACCCTCTTAGAAAAGTTCTAATTTTCAAGGTATCTGTTTCATTTCACACTGGATAAGATTATGGAAAATTTACCCTTTGTCCCAATAAGAGAAAAAAAATCAAAATTAAATCCTACTTAAACCTGGGCGTACTGTTGGCTTCACAGATAATTGAAATTTTTGAGAACTCACTTGGGAACTATTTTTTTTTCTGTCCCATAACTGATACTGAACTAACTGAAAGGTTTCTGGCTATCATAAACATACACAAAGCCTAAAGGACAACATTGCTAAAATAAGATATGTAATCAAGTTAGAAAATAAATTACCAGTAGGAATACCATGAAACATCTACCGCTAATCAGTTTCAGCTAGAAGAATGAGGGAGATGCAACTGGTAGAGTAAAGGCTATTGCAATCTTGTGTTCAAGTGAAACTTGGATCCTTGGCAAGGGGAAATTAATTGGTGTAACCACTAAGAGACAGAGTTTAAGCCCTTAAGACACAAATCTAGAAAATGGATGCAAGTACACATTCCTAAGTCAACCCCAAAATGAGCCGTGTAACCTTTTGGAAGGACTGAGGAGATAACCAGTGTTGCTTGTGGAAGTGACCACCAGATGGCAGACTTAAAGTCCAGGTGTAATTGATAAGGGAAAGGCAAGAACATGGTAGTCAGTGAGTTCTTCAAAGAGACCATCATTACTATCTCCTCCATCGTCATCAAGTATTATTTAATAAACCTTGTGAGACATCATAATTAATAAAGTCTTGCCATTTTAGGGACCACATGTTAAATGACCAAATTAGAGTCTCCTTTGGTTAAGCAAATCCATAGGTGTAAATAGAATTTGAGAATCTAGTTCATACTCTTTGAAGCTTGAAGAACCCTGGAGAATTTTTTTCTTTTCTTATCTATTTCTTCCTTTTCTGTTTGCTTTCTTCCTCTCTCTCTCTTTCTCTTTCTTTCATCTTTCTTTCTTTCATCATATTGAGCAGAATTCTGTTCATGATAGTTGACTTTCAGAGGCTTACTATGAGGATTAGTTGTAAAGTTGAGCCAGATTACCAAGATTGGGCAACTTTCCCAAAGCTAACAGGGTAATTCACCAAATGCCAGACCATAGAGCGAGTTTCTAGAGGCTCAAGCCTTGTTACCTCATTTCTTTCCTAGAGAATCATAAGGGATGTAGAAAACATACAAGGTCCTCAGGCCAGAGGGTTAGGAGTAGGGAGAATGAGAGTGTCCTTTAAGATCAGGGGGGATCATTAGCTCTATGAAACCCATTCCTATAGGTGATATTTAAAAACAAAAGAAAAAAAAAGAAAATGTCTGTTTTAGATTATAAGGAAGAGATATTAGAAATAGCAGTGTTGAAAGAAAAGGTCATCTATTCATTAACCAGTTGAACATCAGTAATTGCACCATGAATAATGCAGAGAGGAAGTGAAAAGATAGTGACCCCCTCTGATGGGCTTACTCCTCCCACCAACCAACAGGTGAGCCCTCCTCATCCTAGTGTTAAACTCAGCTCTGCCCTGTTCCACTGTGGTCCCTGGGATTATCTCACCGTAGAAACTACACTGGGAAGTTAACACTTCACTTTCCTTCTGGCACATCAAATTAGTCACTTGAGCCATTATTTCATCACAAGAAAAATCTCAATTCCTGACAACTTACCTGGAAATGTTATTGTTTTCACGGATCTTCACATGGCAGAGAATATTGGGCAACTTTTGGGTAACGAGGACTTTGATTTGATCCACAGAGCTACATAGCTTTAGGTAACCCAGATATAATCCAGGAGAGAGTCGCTGATGACTCCTCTTGTGATAGGAGAGAATATCCTGTTGGGTGAAAAATAAACAAACAGAAAAACATCTCAAAAGGCAATCTCAAAACCTTTTCCTCTCTAAGGCAGGCTGGGCATGAATGAAAGGAGCTGTGGCTAAATAATTAGGTGAGAAACCTCAGGTATCGCCATGAATTCTGGGGAAATGTTGGTGGTAAGCTAGTCTTACCTTTAGGAGAATTCTCTTCCAGGTCAGGTAATCAGTCTTTAATATATTCTACATCCTTATTTTCCTCAGTACTGTGCTGGGGTAGGTGTGTGTGTTGTAATTGGGAATAGGCTGCTGGTGGTGGAAGCCTAAAGAAAAATTGAATTCAAAATTTCTGTCCTTGGAGGGCTTACTGTTTAGATGGGAGAAACAGACATTTGCAAGTGTACAAGCTGACAAAGCAGTTACAGGATGCTTTGTAGTTTCTGGATGGTTAAAAAGTCCATTTTTAAATGAAACTATTTAAAATAAAATCAGATTTTTAGCAGGTAGGAAAAAAAGCTTGACTGATCCTTATCTTGAAAATTAAAACAAAAAATAATGCCAAGAGGGTTATTTTATATTATTAACATTTAAGTTGTTGTTATAATTATGTATTAATACTGAGAATGAAAAAAGAGTGAATCAGGCATTGATTTTTTTTTTGGCTTAATTTTTTAGACTAAATTGTAGCTGAAATGATACTCCTCATATTTGACTTTCACAATGTGATCATGAAGAGGATAATTTTTCCCAAAAGTATTTGAAGTCTTCATAATGTTTTCCCTGGCATCTTTTCAAATTTTGATATTCTATTCATATTCTTATATAGTCATTGTTCATTTTAATGCTCTTCATTGGCTAACTGGTCTGCCACTTCTAGATTTTCAATTGTCAATGGCTTTGCATGTGATTTGATTAGGTCTCCATAGTGTCTTCATCAACTTCACAAAATTCTGTATCTTTTATAAGATTTTAAATTTTGCCTTGTAATGGATTTACATTGCATTTGCATTGTACTGTTACATCACAGTATTCCACGAACAGCAGAGACTGAACAAAGTTGCTTGTACAATAGGAAGTGCCAACCAAGTTAAGCACAGAAGGATGTTTGAATGGAATCTGTTGTATGTGTGGTCAGTTCTCTAGTGAACTATTTGAGTTATGAATTTTGCTTCCCTATACAACTGCAGGGACTCAGATAATGAATAATTGGAAAAAACAGACACTCTCCCTCCTCTGCCATATCAGTAGGTAAGACTTTTTAAACATTTCGGCAGTGGGGTGTGTGATACAAAATTAGGAGTGATGAATCAGGTAACTAATTTTAAGGGAAGGTTTCCTATAGGCTAGAATTTAGCCTGGTTTTCAACGAGGGTAAAATAACTATGATTTCAAATGGCCTCACTACAAAAAGATGATAAGTAAGTGAGGTGATAGAAATGTTAATTAGGTTGACTTAGTTATTGCACATTGTATGCATATATCAAAACATCACTTTGTACCCCATAATTATTTGTCAATTACAAATAATATTAAATAAATAAATAATTTTTTTATAAGGTAAAACGAAATCATCTCTACCACTAAATGCAGGAAAGGTGAGAGGGAAAACAAAAATAAACATTTAAACTTCTATGGAACTCTATATGGGACAGAAAGGTGTGGGGCCTTCCTTGACCACTATATTCTGAAGGTGTGATCTCTCCTCTGTAGAATTAACTATCTGCAACATCTAACATATGCTGTTGTGTACCATCTCTTCTGTCCTACCCTTTATCAAACAGATATTGAGTTCCTGTAGTGTGTAAGGCACTATGGGAGACACTGGCATTTCAGGTGAACATAATGTGATCCCTACTCTTGAAGAGGTCAAGAAAGACAAGTAGACAGATGATCACAATGTGCTGAAGTCAGTTTTATAACAGAGGCAATGCAGGCATACAGCAGAAGGAGTATTTAACTTATATTTTTCTTCCTTTCTGTTTTATTATTAAATTAGACTATGAAAGTAACGGTAGGACTGTGTTTTTTACTGCTTTGTGTCCTTAGTATCCAGTACTATTTCTGTGTGAAAAAGGTGCACAGTGTGGAAATCAGGCCAGATCCCTTAAACAGAACATATGGGAATAGAGTAAGAGGGACAAAATGAGAATGGTCACAATTGGGAGCAAGATATAAGGAGCATGTACAGAAAAGCAAAATCTAAACAACTTTTACAAAACATTTGGTAAAAAAATAGACTAGAAATAAAATTGATTTCATGATCAAGAAGGAAGGAATTCTCATTTATATCAGGGGATAGATAAGACTGAACTTTTTAATGTTTTCTATCTTGTCTCTTCACAACAGATCACAGGTAAGTAGTTGACTGGAAGAAATTCACTCAATGTGGAATTTTGGTAAATGAACAGCTAATGAAAGGGAGAGAAATGGTTAATGAGGGAAGAAAACAATGGAAGTATTCAAATCAGCTGAATTTGATGATGCACACCCCAGGGATACTTGCTGAGCAAGCAGATGTGGCTACAGACTCATGGGTCATTATTTTTGAGAAGTCATGGAGAACTGGAGAAGTCCCTAAAGACTAGGGACTAGTTATAAATATGCCTGCCTTTGAAACAGGAAGGAGAGAAACACAGGTTGGCCCTAGTAATTAAAGACTGACAACTTATTGATCTTTGGGAAAAATGAGAAAGAACCATCAAACAATCAATTTGCAGTCACCCAGGAAATCCTGAGACACTAAAGTGGAGTCAGCATGGTTTTGTGAAGAGCAAATCATATGGAAAACTTTAATTTCTAACAGCAAATGAACAGGATCTACAGACCAGGAAGAAGTCTCCAGTGCAATCAGTTTCACTGGATAACCTGGGAAAAGTAGAATCTTGACCACATTACTTTAACAAGCTGAATATCTGGGTGGAACATTTGTGGATGATGGAGATGATGTGGAAATAGACATATTGAGTGATGGCCCAGTAGGGATTGGTCCTGAGGACCAGTCTGTTCAGCTCATTTATTGGTGTTCCAGACAAAGAAATCAAAAATGTGTGTGTCAAATTTGTGGGTCTCGAATTTGGTGTGGTTTTGATTTTCTGGAAAATAGTAATAAAGCTCTGAACGACCCTATGCATTGGAAAAATAAGTCTACAATAATTAGGGTTGAAACTTAATAAGAAAATGTGCTTGTAAAGATCTAAACCCAAGAGTACAAATATAGGATGGGCAGGCGTGTAAGAGAAAAACATGTGAGGGTCAGAACTGACCACAAATAGAATATGAGTTAGGAACACACTGTGGTTATATAAAAACAAACACCATTCTGGGATGGAGTAATTCACTCTTTCAGTAGATTTTTAGAAAGATGATTACTGAAAATCTACTATGTATTTTCTTGGCTTTACATTGTCAGTTATCCCTCATTAGTCAGAATGTTTTAGAGCCTGAGAAATACATGAGAAGAGAAAGACGCTGTCTCATTCACATAACCTAAGTAGAAGAGCCTTCTAACACCAAATTGAATACCTATGGATCTACATATTACCTCATTTGACCTCTAACCTGCATTTCTAACCCCAGTTCTACTGTAACCCCTTTGTGTCCCTAGTCTCCAGACAAAATGAATTGTTTTTTTCTTTCCCCATACCATGTCCTAATCTCCCTTTTTTGATTGTTGTTTCATAAGTTCATTCATTCTATCAGTTATTATTGAGCACCTACTATGTATCAGGCATTGAGTTAGGATGTTAAGGACACCGAGATGAATAAGACATGATCTTTCTCTTCATGGAACTCACATTTCAGTGTGTGAGAGAAACGCGTAAGCAAGTTTTTCTAAGCCAGCATGATAAAGGGCATGGGAAGACTGTGTAAGGTCCACTGTAGGCCTAAGGGAGAGTGAGCTCTGCTCTTCCAGCTTCGCCTCATTTCTTTACCATGCCCCCTCTTTAATTTGATTCCATCTATTTGAATCCTTCCTTCCTTCCTCCTTTCTTTCCTTCTCTCTCTCTCTTTTTTTCTCTATCTGGTGAACTTAACTTACCTTTGTGGCTCAGCCAAATGCCACTTCTTCTGCAATGCCTTCCCTGATATTCCCAGGCAGAATTAATAGCTGCTTTGTCTGTGCTCCTATAGTATGATGTGTGTACTGCTATCAGGCTCTGGTTTTATTCCACCTTGTATTACCTTGATTTGTTTACAAGTCTGTCTGCCTCCTTGGACTGAACGCCTTCAGAGCAGGGACTGTGGCTTATTCATTTGTTTTTCCTACAGCACCTAGAAGTGTGCTTTGCACCTAGTTGATGCTGAAAAAAAATGTTTATTAAATATGAAGCGAGAGGATGAGAGGAGTTGGGAGAGAATATGTTGTGCTGGTACAGTGACTATGAAGGGTGTACCCATCCTCTCTTCACTGATCAGTTATCCTGAGAACTCTTTAGAAGAACAATAAATAGTTGCTTTTCCAATAACTACAGTGCTTTTACTTTGCCTGATGGGGTATGGAAGCTGAATTGTCCAGGATGGCAGAAGTCACAAAATGGTGGCTGGTGGTCTTTGTGGGTCCAAGATTGTATGGACTGCAAATAATTTAAATTTTCTGAATCATTTTATAAATTATGAATATAATCTGGATTTTCAACTTCTTTTCACAAAATGGAAATATTTCAATACTGGGACCATATTCTTCTACTGTAATTAATACAGTATAATTAGGTGCTGAATAGGTGCTTCTCTCTTTAGATAGGACAGGGGATCTCCAGATTAACACAGTCTGTTAATTTCACTTCTTTCTTTTTTTAAAAAATGAGATATAAGTCATATGCCATAAAATTCATCCTGTTCAAGTGTGCAATTCAGTGGTTTTAGTACATTCTCAAGGTTATGCAACATTCACCACTAATTCCAGATTTTCATAACTCCAGAAAGAAACCTCACATTCATCAGCTGTCATTTCCCAATCTCTCCTCCCCCTGCCCCTGGAATCACTAATCTACTTTCTGTCTCTGGATTTGCCTATTCTGGACATATCATCTAAATGGAATCACAGTATGTAGCATTTTATGTCTGGTTCTGTAGCATGTATCATACTTTATTCATTTTCTGTGGCTGCATGGGATTCCATTATATGGATATGCCACATTTTGTTTACCCATTAATTCATTAGTTTATGGGCATTTAGGTTATTTCTACCATTTGGCTATTACGAATAATGCTTCTACGAACATTGGTGAACAAATTTTTGCGTGAACCCAGTTTGTTCTTAAGTCCAGCCCAATTGGCTCATTTCCATCAGTCTTTCTTGATTCCTGCAGTTTTTGATCCCTGTGTTTGGAGATACTTGAGGGTATAAAGAGTAGGAATATGCTGGCAAAAAGCAGAAAGAGGCAGAAGAGTTATTGGGCACCTAGTGCATAAGAAGAAAACACTGGGCACCCGGAGGTGACAAGGAATGCCAAAGGCGAAGAAGAGAAAGAAAGCAGGGATGGGAGGGGGTAGAAGGCAAACTTTACCACAGCTTCCCTAGGATCACACTTTACAAAAAGGATGCAAAGGAAAGGAGGGGGGAGGGTATGTAAAGCAATATGGTGGAATGGGAAGGGCACCAGGCCAGCAGTCAGAAAATATGGGTCCTGGTCCCTCTTCTGCTGTTTTTTTGGCTGATATAACCTTGGCAAGTTATTTCCTTGAAATCCATGGCTTCATCTGCAAACCGGACACAAAATTCCTCACTCAACCTCATTGGGTTTGCACGAGGACCAAATGATATAAAAAATGTGATAAAGTGTTACAAATTCGAATATATAGTACACATGTGAGAGATTAATCTTCAGAGAAAACTTCACATGGGAAGCTTCCAGTGAGTGAAGTGATCCCTGAAGAACATGGTCAGAGTCACTCGGCACTGGGAGGGGCGTCCCTATTGGAAATACTCTCATTGCCAATTAATTTGCTCAGAGGGACTCTAGCTTGTCCGTAGTAACTCTCTGTTCCTTCCCAGGTAAGTGTGAGAAGAATTTTTCTCTCTTTTGCATATATATGAGAGAGGCCTGTTTTTAAGGTCTGGGGTTTGAGAAGGTCAGAAATTTGGGAGAGTTGGACACTGGAGTTTCTCTGCGGTCCTAGGGATGAGTAGATTAGTTATGGGCCCAGATTTTGTTAAAGCCCTTACCTGTTTTGAAAATCCCATTGTGGATTATATAGTTTGTATACAGCTTTTCCTTAGTTACTACGTATGAAAAGGTAGAGAGAGTGATGAAATGCCCCATGGGGTGACTGGGCCAGTCTCAGAGGTCTTCTAGGGGAGCAGGGCAGAGAAGATGGACTGAGTGTGTCCCAAGGGCAGCCTAACATTGCTTGAATTTTTCTTAATAGAGAAATAACAAAAATCACTAACATTTATTGAGTGCTTACTTTGTGTTATTCTTCTAATGCTTTATGTATTAACTCACTTAATCTTCATTGGAACCCTATGAAGTAGGGTTTTTTGCAGAGGAGGAAATACAAGGGGTGAGAAGTTAATAACATGTCCTAGTCACATAACCAGAAAGGGTGGGCTCAGGAATAATACCTAGTCAGCCTGATTCCAAAGTAGTGTCCCAGAGTGTGAGCTGATTGTAGCGTAAAGAAGCCGAGGCTTCTAATCAGAGGGCCTGGTGGTCATGGCTCCATTGCCTCTGAGAAAAGAGAGTTGTCTGTGGCCTGTTATTGTGGGAATCACCCAGCCTGCTTTGGACACCACCAAGACTTATCTCTCCCTTCATGTTGAGTCGGTGGCGCCAGCTCCTGACGTAATTAAATTCTAAGTCCAGGAGGGATTGGATACCAGCCCTCATAGTTTTATTCCCCATTTCCTCTCCAGTGTAAGACTTGAATGGGAAGGAGGGGAGAGAGGAAAAAGTGGGGGGAGGAGAAGGGAGAGTGGGGGTGGGTGGGAATGACATCAAGCGGGAATGTGCCAGTCAGCGGGGGTAAATTTTCCACTTGGATCTGTGTGGAAACCTGATCCTGCCTCTATTTTTGGTCTCCTTCTCTAACAACCTTTCACCAGATTGGAATTTTTCTGCACCTGTAACACATTTTTAATGTAATAAGTCTAGGAGAAACCAGGTATTATATCATGCTGAGGCCTGTGCTGTGTTTCTAGGAGCAAAGGTAGCCCAGACTCCAGTTTATCCCTATAGGGGATTAGTGTATTAGTCACCCTGTAAAAGCTCAATTTATTATGATTTTTTAAATGTTTCTTTTAGCACTTGCTTATAAAAGGTGAAGAGGGGAGCCACGGATGTGCCTGTGTTCCCTGCCCCCACCTCCTTCCCACATGCACACACTATCAATTTCCTATGAACCCAAATTCCAGAAAATCAAATCCAGAGGTACTGGCTTTGAGCAATTAACTTGCCTTTGCTACACTGGACTTTGTCCTGGTTTGGGCCAGTGCAAGTAATGAAAAGGTGAGATTATTGTATTTGCCACCCCTTGGTGGGGAATGAAAGTAAGTTATAGAGTAAGTTAGCTGTTTGGAGTGACCATGAATGGCTCCTGGAGCTGAGGCTTGGATTTGGCTTGGTTCTGTGTGACTGGGCCCTTCTTCCCCTCTTACTCCAGATTAGCTGTCGTGAATATATGCCATTGGTGGTAAGGAGCTCGATGCAGATGTTTCTGCCAGCTTTTCTACCTAACTGGAGAGTTCTATAGCATTCATCCCCATCACTGGGTTTAGGAAAAGAAAGAAAAAATGAACAAGAAACAGCTTGAAGCCTATGTTCACATAAGAACGCACGAGGCAGCAGGGTGGCAGGGACAGAGCTTTGGGTGCAGGAGCAGACGTGGTGTCCAGGTTCCACTCTCCAAGCTAAAAGTCTGAATGTAAGCTGCCTAGATTTTGAATTTTGGTGGATATTCAGTATGCAGTAGAGTCTTTGATCCTTTATTTAATCTCCCATCCCTCACTCACTAAAACCTGAACTCCTACCCCAGAGTGAGATATAACCTAGCAGAAAGAAGCCTGCTTCCAATCAGCAGATCTGAATTGAAGTCTCAGCTCTACCATCTTCCCAAGGGCAAATCCAAGCCTTGAGGGGCCTGAAGCTAATATAGTTTCTGGTGCCCTCTTTAAGGAAAAGAATACAAAATTATGAATATAAAATTGCTAGAGTCTCTGCCAGGGCCTAGAAGGGGCTTGTGCAAGTGAAGAGCTGAATGCCATTGAAGCTTCATTAGCTTCATTAAATTGTCTCTTTGCGTAGCCCTATGTGACTTAACTTCTTTGAGCTCCGGTTATTTCATTCCTAAAATGGACTTAATTATGCCTGTCTGTCCCAAGGGAGTATTGTAAGGAACAAGCAAGAGTAAATATGTACGAGAGTGTTTTTGTCCAAAGTGCCATATATTACAATCCATTCAGGTATTAGTTTAATGTTTTGATTATACTATCTATGGATCCCCTACTAAATTATTTGTCTCAGTGTTTCTCATTGGTTCATTGGTCAGGGCATCTTCAGGGTACCCACTATTTGTATTGCTTGATGAATTTCAGATCTAGAGAGTGATAAATAAAAATCAGATTCTGCATCTTTCCTGTGTGTGGAATACCAGCAGCAACATGTCCC